TGCCTATAGAAAGCCTCATCAATTTCCTCCTCCTAATCAGGCGACCTGTAGCAAACCCTCATTTTTAAAGTGTTAAATTAGTACATTTTTCTTATTAGTTAGACTACTAATATTTTCACTTGAGTTTTGAAGAAAGCTAGATTATAAAGCACATCAATCTCCTTTCTCATCTGGGGCATGGCTCTTTCTTTTCCAAATGTTATAGTATTAGGGACTAAGGAAGCAGTATGTTTTTACTGTCCAAAATACAATTTTGTACCATAGATACAGACTATGTTGAAATTCTAATAAATCAGCATTTGGTTTTCTTTTAATTTAGGTTATTTTTTTTTTCCACAAGATGACATGCAATATGCATGCAGACAACTAGAAGGATGTTTTTCTAGGTAAGAAATTACTGAATATCAGGCAGTGCCTTTTTTTACTACACATGCCCTCTCTCCTGTTTCTTCAAAGAAATGAGTTTCCTGGGAAACAATTAGCACAAAATAATCTAATTTAGTGAGATTGCAGTGCATATGCACTATTTTATAGCACTGATTCTAAAGCAATTAATTTTCTCATTACCTGCCTTTTATAACCTTTCACAATGCTTCAAATGTGCTTTGCTCTACTTGAATGCTCTGGAGAAATGGTGCAAACCCAGAGAGACTTACCTGAGGCTGTGGGAGTTCAAACCCTGGAGCCTGTCCTCACTAGTTGGCACCTTACTGCTGCATACATTCAGTTGCAGCTATAAGCACTAAGTACTGGTACTGTTACAGATTTCTGAAGTAGAGTGCTAGAATATGAGAAATTGCTTTATTTGTGACCACTTCTACCATAACATTTTGACTCTCAACCTGTGACTGTGACAGAAGTGAGTTCTTCTTCATGGCTGAGTGAATTGTGTTAACCACAGCAGCACCCTTTCTGTTTATCCACTAGGCTTCTTGCCAACACATTTCAAAATGTATAAAACAATATAATAAATTTGACAGAGATCCTGCAACTTCTGAACCATACTGCCAGAGCATTGCATGATATTACCTCAGTAGAACTAGGGAGCATCACGTGATATAACCTCAGTAAAAGTATGTGTTCTTCAGATAAATCAGAATGAAAAGAACCTGACAATGTGTCCAAGGGGATTATCATGTGCAAAAAATTGTTGTGGTAGAAACTGAGGAGCACCCTCCCCTGCCCAGAATTTCATTTAAGAAGACTGATTCCTACTGGACAAAGAAAGGAATTTTCTTCCCAAATTGGGTTGAAGTAAAATGGGGGAAACTTTTTGGCTATGGTCAAACTCCAGATGATGGATTCTTCTTTGAGTCCCATCTCTCCATCTGGCTAGAGGGCCTGAAGCAGCCTCTGAAATACTGTTTAGAAGTGTCGAGTGCTTTAAGGCTGTTTTTTACCTGTGAGTCCCCAAGCTTCACATTCTGTCTTAAGCTTGTGAAAGTTGCAGCCCTGAATCACTTTAGACATCCCACAGAAAGTGACATTGCATCAGTCACTTGTTTATTCATTGGAATCCTAATTTTCTGAAAAAATCATTGCAAGGGGAGAGATCAGGTCCTTGCTGTCTTACATTTTCAGTCATTTAAAAAGTAGTATGCAGCATGTCCTCAAGTAGCTTTTTATTTTATTTAACTTATGGGTGTATCTCTGAGAGGAAACACATGTTTCTCCTCATGGTCAAGTCCTGGAAGTTGCAGTTTAAATTTGATGAAGTGTTTTATTCCCCCAGATAAAAATAAATAAATAAAAAATTAGATTTAAATGCATTTGTTGATGAGGAAAGTCAGGAATCCTCCTAATTAAGACATTTCTTAGAAAGGTAAAATTTTTATCTGGGAACATAAAACACTTCATCAGTTTTAAAGCCACATCTGTAAGGACTGTATCAAGAGGAGAAACAGGCATTTTCCTTTATTCTGGCTTGTCTGTGTATTTAAGACTTTTAACAACAATTTAAAAAATATTTAAACCCAGTTAGAAACACTTGCAATATAAGAGGGATAAGAGTGCCCTCCCTCCCTCTGTTTTTAATCTGGTTCTCTTGATGGAATAAACTACAAGGTTGAATTGGTAACTGGATTATTGCCTCATAAAACAGCACGAGGTTACTATTATCCTTTAATTTTATATCTTTATTAGGGAGTAATGTTGGTCTTATTTAAATCACTGACTTCTCTAATGGTTTTTCTCCTCTTTTACAAATTTATGAAACTAAACCCTAAAGGATTTGGTCTAAGTGCAGTTGGCATAACTGCCATTGTAAAAATCTTTGTGTTAGCAGTTGGTTATAATCAGCTGCTTTAACTGGGCTCAATATGTAGCAGGATTTAGCTGCTGATAAGTAGGATAATGCTTATAAAATATTAATTCTGAATTTTATTTTAAAAAACTGGATTTCCAGTAAGAGCATTTGAATTTTGATGCAGCATGAAGATGAACAACAGTGCCCTGGAAACTGTATAATGTATCATGTTCATGCAAAGGGTATATTTAACACATTGTGTGTTTCTGCTAAGATTAAAAAACGCTTGTCTTTGCCTTGCAATTCACTAAAGTAATGTTGAAAATTTTTGAAAACTAGTCTTTTTTAGAAAGTGACTAGTACAAGTGGCATATTTAATGATGCATTCCAGTGAATGCATCCACCCAGATTTTGGGACACAACACATACTGTGGGTGAGTCATTGACAGTCCTTAATAGGAAAACTGTTGGATTTGTGTCATCAGGATGTATTTAAAATATCAGTACTTAATTTTTTAAGAAAAAATGTGGCATCCATCTGTTGATTTCAGTGTGCTTTGGTTAAGGTCATGATCAATAAGGAAAGAAACATGAGTATGGGTCTGTCTGTTATGATATGGCTCTGTAGCTGAGTTATAGTTGAGTTTTACACAGAAAGTGAATGATCTGTCACCTTCAGGGGCTGACTCACAGAATTGGAGAATATACTGTTTGAATGCAAGGCAGGTACTGACTTTTCAGTCAGTATACTTAGAAACTAGTCAAATAATATATTCTGAGTTCTGTATTTTCATTGTTTATCTCTGCAGACAATCTTACCAATGCAATAACATACACATACTTCAAACTTTTTAATTAAATTAGAGCAGATTTTATATTTAAGTTATTAATGCAACATTTTAGTATTGGTTGTAAAAAGTCAACTCTGTGTTTGGAATTCTTCCTTTGACGTGGACTACTGCAGGCAATGCCATGTAGAGCTGCTTTCACTTGAAATACCCACTGTTCCTAGTAGGTTCCTTTCTAAAATTTGTCTGCAGTGGATGTTTTAAAGAAGCCTTTCAGTTCTCCTTTTGTCTTCATTGAACAAAGGCTGAAGAAGATTTTTACAAATATGAGTGTGGGCTCCACATTGATGAAAAAAAATATGGGAAGTCATTACAAGTTTTGTGAAGGCATCGTGAAGACATTTACGTCTTGCATCCCTCTGAAACTAAGAGGACACTGAAGCCATTTTGAAAAACAGGAATTATTTTCAGCTCTATGATATGGTGAAATACACACAACATGATTTGCTTGCAGTTAGTCTTTTCCTTATGTAACGTCATGGCAAAAATTAATGAAATCCGAATGATAATAATTTAGAAACTTTGACAAGAGGGAAGACAGAAGGGTGTAGTTTGGGGGCAAGAAAAGTCCAGGTGAAACTGAAAGGAAAGTAGTATGGGTCTGTGCATTTGTGTGTGCTCTAGAAAATATCTGATGCAAAAACAATGAATTTTTGAGAGTCATGTTTTGGGGAGTAAATGGAGGTATGGCACATAAGTAGCTCTTGGGATTCAGAGAGGAGGTATTCACAGAGCAGTGCAGGACAGTGAGGGAGAATATATGTAGGTGCTGTGGCTTGTTTCAAGTATGTTCCATAGCTCTGGTTTCCTTTCAAATGTTATGCATGTGCCAATAGAGCTGTACTTTGTTTAACCTCAGAAAAATAATGGTTGCATTTATGCAGGGTGGAGGTAGCATGAGGAATAAGTGCTTGCTGGTCAGAATATAACAGAGATCCATAATATGTTTATATTATTGGGCATACTCCCAGGTAAAGGATTCTTGTGTGCCTTGTTGATAAACAAATCCATGTAATGTTGATAAGCAAATCCAGGATGTTTGGGTTCCTTAATGTATGTGTTTACATATATTTTTGTTTGGTTTGGTTTTTTTAATGTAACATTAGCTTTGATTGATAATATAATGATTTTATTGCATATATAAAATATCTCTGGCAGGTTTTTTTTGTTCTAAATTATGCAAATTTGCATAACTCCAAAACGGACCTTTTCTGAGAATGGAGATCGTAATGTAATTGTGTGGCTTTATAGTTAAGGTTAACCTAATGATACATGGGCAGAATTTCCTACTGAAGATCTCAATATTTGATGAGAGTGACTTACCCTATTAGAGAAGTCATAGATGTAGCAGATAACTAGGGTAATTTCTGTCATTTAGCACTTTGTAGGGAGCTGCTTGTTATAAACCACTTTGTGTATTTTATTTAATCCTAAAGGAATTTAATGAACCTCAGAGAGGGGACTTCGTGGTGGAGATTGCATATTAACTTTTTTTTCTGCCAGACACTTAATGACTAAGAGGTTATCATTAAATGTATTAAGCACTTCTGTTCTGTAATTGTCTTCCTAATATGTTCTCCCAAGGGTTATAATTTATTGTCTACTTAAACAGCTGCCTGTATTCACCATTTTGGTTTGTTGGCTTGTTTTCATAACTAATTTTTTGTCTTGCAGAAGTCAAAAAAAAGTTCCTGTTTTTGTTCATGTATTTTAGATAATTCCCAGACTAATACTGTAGGTGTTGAAGCACTTTACATGAAATTAGTCCTCATATAAATTAATGAGAACTTTGCTGAAGATTTTAGTGAAGCCACAACCTCAGTTAGGGTGTTTGTTTATTGCAAATTTGCCTTAGAGGTGAGGACCATAGACTAACATGTCAATTTCTTATCTTCTTTTTAATTTAGACTATTGAGCTGTAAATTAAAGGGAAGATAATTTCTGCTCGTGGAGGAAAAGAAAAGTGAATAACCTCAATGGAAGACTCTCAGGATCTAAGTGAACAGTCAGTGAGTACAAATGTTGATAAACATGGATGGAATGGAATAAATAGAACTATGTACAAGTTGTGCGAAGAGAGTTGGGATTTGAAAATGATAGATCTGGAGAAAGGTTCTGGCCTTCTAGTTTGAAACCTTCTCTTAGTTCATATATTAAATAAGTGGTTTTAATGTATTTTTACCTGTTGAAAGGTACAAGATCATTGCTATATAGGATTTTGTAGAACTAGAATTGTTGGAGGGATATAATTAAGGTACAGTGAAAGAATAAAATGTTATGAACTTGCACAGTGGTATGCCTTGTTCGAATAATTCCATTAAAATGTATACATAGTCATCTGTCAGTTTTGCCAAAGCATGAGTTACCAAAATCACAAATGAGATATTTCAGATGGTCAGGCTGTGGCAGATGACATACACTGATTGCGTCAGGATTCTCCTGGATGTCAAGGGAATTGTGAGAATTGGCAGTGTATCTCCCTGTTTCATGTCAGAGAGAGATTCCCCTTTTCACTGATGACAGATCTGTGAGAAATGGGGTGGATATTTCTTCTTCTTTTTCCTTTCTTATTTCTCCTTTCCTTTAAGGATGTGGTCTCCAGACTTCCTTACCACCAGACTGCATTTCTGAGGAGACAGTAGGCTCTGAGTAAATTTAAAGTTATCTCGTCTTGCCATCCGAAGTATTGGTTTTGTTTTTAGTATCTTAATTTCTTAATGTTTCTTACTGGTCACAGTAGGGGCACATTTTGGAAGTACCATGATCCCTATGAGTCTCAGCTTGGGCTTAATGTACTAAAGATCAACAAAGGAATTTCGAATTTCTATTTCTGACATGCTGAAAGAAGTTATCCATGTAATAAACTAGTTTTAATATATATTTTTTATAGCAGAGACTTTTATGGGTAACACAAGTTCAAGGAAGTGGGAAGAGCTGCAGGTATTTTTAAAATGTCAGTAATTATCTTTAATAAGGAGTACTTAGCTCCTGACTGGATAGCTCCTATCTGAGACTATCTTGGACTAGAGTTTTATTTCTGATTTTAAGTGGTACAGAACTGGAAAGTCTTAACAGTGTCTTAAGTCCCCACGGTGGCACTACTTGGGACAGCTGCACTTATTTAAAGTGTTTTAGAGCATGTAAAAGCTACATGGCTTCATAATTTAATAAAGTTTTATAAAGGTCATAAAAGATTAGGCAGAAGTTCATGTCTTGCAGTCTGTGAAACAATTGTTCTGTGGAGTTATTAATAGGAAGTAGATGAGCCAGTTTTAGCTTAGTGCAGAAATGTCTTTTCATAGTAGTTTAAATGTTTTTGCAGTGCTGGATGCCTGATAAATGCCTATTTTAGTAGCTATTTTACTACCTAGTCATATTATAATTTCCATAGTATTTCTCATAATTACTACATATCTTTATGCTAATAACGTGGAAACAGTCTTGCGGGCTACAAGCCGAGGTGAAATCTGTGCCGTGTTGTGTATGGAGGCAGGATTTTCTGGCTTTATACTATTGTTAGTGTCACAGAAAATTGTGATTCAAGACAAGTTTATTCTTCTTACTCTTCACGAACAGTGGCAGAACTTCAGGGTAATGGATGGGAGAGCCACTGCATCACTTCCTTCATCCAGGTGTGCACTGAGACTTAAGATCTCACCAAGATGTTGGGCACTGTCCTGGGAGAAGGAATTGTGCTGTGAGGCCCATCTGCCTAGGGCAGGCATTGACCCTTCATTTCCCAACTTCAAAAACTGTGTCACTGTTATATAATGGTTAAACTACTCCTGCAGCCAATTTTTAAAAGAGAAAACAGCGTTTCTGGCTTAGTTCCTTAAAAGCCACAGGACACATCTGTGGACTAGAGATCCCAGGTAGAAGGGGGTATTCTCAAGATGAGGCTTTGGTGGTTTAGGCTCTAGGAAGGTATCAGATGTAAATCCTTCAACTCTTCTGCTTGTACTGTAGCTGTAGTGTTTTGTATTGCTTAATGGTTACTGAGTAGCTCTAGGTAGTTTATCAGGCAGGATTTCTGGTTCTTGAAATGTTCAGGAAGGATAAGGCCTTCTTTTCAGCTTCAAGATTCCTCTTGGGGAGCTAAGTGCGTAAGATTTAGATAATGAAAATTCAGAGAGCGTAAGGATGTAGTGTATTAGATTGTGTGAGAAAGCATGAATGTAAGATCTGTGCTCAAACTTGTACTGGCACCTTGCCTTGAATAGTCTAGTCCTTGGTTACTTGAAAGACTGTCTTTCTCTTCAGCTGGAATAGGTGAGAAGGTACTTGCTGTTGGATGGTATGTTTGATGGACAGTTGAGGATTTTTGAATAGATATATACTTTATTGAATTCATTACCCTGGGCATTCTGTCAAAGAGTCTTTCACCCTTGGGAAAGGAGGCCATTGAACAAGGTTAATTTTCAAGTGCTATTTTAAAAAAAGGAAATTATGCTGATTTCTGCAAGTGTATCATCCTTCTGCAGCATGATATACTGTAGTGTCACTTTTATTCTGACAGACTTCTCTATAAGTTTGAGATCACTATTATTATTTTAATGCAAGTTTTTGGTGTTTACTCTGTCTTCTGTTCTTTTAAAATGCACTAATAGGAAATGATTTGTTCTATGATTCCTATCCTGAAAGTATATCACAGCATCCCTGCAGCTATATGAGAAATAAACTCTTACCCTTTTGTCTCAGAGCAATGACTGGATGACCACATGTTGCTTCAGAAATCTAAGTGCACCCCCCGTTCTCTGAGCCTCTAAAGAATTGTGTTTGACTGAATTGAGCAGCTGCTGTTTTCTGAGATGCCAGCTTGATTAGATGTATTATATATACCACTTAATGCATTATGTCATTAGTTTATTTATTTTTCCTATTTTTGTTTCTGATAAATTCCTTGCCTCTGTTACATTTTAAATTGTTATGCTTCTGGCCGACCAGAAGTCAGTCTACTTGCCTAATTGTACTGTAAGGCCTCTATACCCAGAAACCTGGTGTTCTCCCTTTCCTTTGCCTTTTCTCATGTGGCAGCGGTGGGGGAATCAAGACTTAAGCTAGCTCGTACAATGATGAAAAGATTCAGAATCAGAGGAGAGTTTGTTAAATTTTGGTTTTCCTGTCTTTACTCACAACTGCATGGGTAAATAGCTCTTTTTTGAAGATCAGTGAGAAAATAATTCAAGCTACTAGCTGACACAGAGGAGAGCTGGGATCCTTCAGGTGCAGCTGAGATCCAGAGGATCCCTGCGGCTGGCATGGAGTGGTCTGGGACGTACCGTCATGGTACTGTACTTCTGGGGTGGGTGTGTGTCCTAAAAATCTCACAGCTCTTTTCTTTCCAGTTCAGATGCAGAATATGCTTGTACAACCATGCACAAGAAGGAAATTTTTTCACTGATAGGAAGGCTCAGTTTATAGTATTCATAATGAAAAAAAAGAAAACAGTAAGACAAGTATTTCACAGACAGAAGAAAATATCCAAATGGTCCTCTTCATATTCTGGGGAGAGGTCTGTTACTAAGTGCAGGCTGCTATTTAGCAAGTAAAAGAATACTTAAAATCACATATGCTTGTTCTACGTGGACAGATGTAGCTAGGTAAAAACATGGTTTTAAGAACTGTGTTTGCCGTAGACTTTGTGACCACTAAATTTAAAAAAAATGTAGACGATACAATAAAATACATAAGATCTTATTTTGCTATTGTTGCTTCCTTCAAAAAAAAAAGCTAATTTTTTTCTGAATGCTAACTAGAAATACTTTTTAATCAAAAGATACACGTTAAAAGTTCTATTTAGTTTTGAAATTGGAGAGAAGGAAATTTTTGCAGATCTTGTATTTATTAACCATCTAGCAATAGGGAGACAAAAGCTTTTTAAGACTGGTCTTGGAGATGGCTAATAAAATGGTAAATGTTTAGCACCTAAATAGTCCTCTGATGTGCCTTGGTGTAACAAACACACATAGGATTTTGAGAACTACAGTTTTACACTTTTATTTTGCTCTCTTCTAGTCATCACTTGCTGTTCAGTCTCTTAGTAGAAGAAAAAGAATTTGGCTGCTAACTTGCTAGTTTAGGGTTTCAAAGGGCCTTATTAGAAACTGGTGTAATTTCATCCCCTGGCCCTTTTATATAACAGCATGCATATTTAGATTACTTCATTTTAACCTAGAATTAAACAATAGATTGCAGTGCTGTAGGACAGGACACTAGCAGATGTGAGGCTAAACCTGAATGAACAGGTTTTCATTTTTGTGTTGTTCGGACAATCATCCCCATTGTGCCCTGGGTAAGTTATTTGTTTTTTATCAGATTATGCAGACTGTTATATCTGTTACTTGCATTTGTGGCCCACTTGGAGCTGGACTATCCCTGGCAACCTTTTCAGACAATGTTTGCCCATTTTTGTTTGGTTTTAATGTGTGAAGCTGTCAGATGTGATCCCTTTGCAGATCAGTTTTCAGCTGTAGCTGCTGCTTTGTCACACAAGCACTGTACTTGCAGCATTTAATCTTACCCCCGTCCGGGGTGGGCAGCCTGCTTGCACCCCAGGAACTTCAGCTGACACTCATTTTGATGAGATGAAAATTAGTTTAAAGTTTTTAACTGAGTTTTAAATGATCTGTTTAACTGTTCTGTATCACAGCATAGCATCTTATGGTTCTTATGTCTGTGATATCAATATTTGTAAGACTTGGAATATTACAGGCAATTCATCTTGTCAGATTGGTTGAAAGAGATCTCTGGAAGTTAACTAGCTTAGCTTCTGAAGTGCTGGTAGTATGCACAAATATTTTACTTATAAAAGCAAAGAACTGTATCAGTAATATTAGTAAGTGAAGAAATTAAGGGTTTAATAAGCAAAAAAAAAGAAAAAAAAGTTTCCTTAACAAATGATTCCTTACTTTTAATTAGAATCAATCATTGAAGAAAAATTCTGTAACTTGAAGTCAGCTGTAATAGAAAACCAGCATGTCTCTTCAAAGGTGTATTTCAGAGCATTTTT